CCCTTAGTCTAGCCCCTTCCTCCAAAAGCATACTGCAATCTACCTTAGCCACTCTCATGACTGGCAAGTGGGGGGAGATCATGGGCACAGGCTCACCTGCTGCTCTAGGCCCTGACCTATGGACCCATTAGTATCAAACACTTACTGCCCCCTTCCAACTCTCCGCTGTTACATGCTTCCCTTGGGCATTTTCCTGCAGCCCCAGCACCTTCTCTGCCCTTCGTGTCAGGGCCCAGGTCACTCATCATTAGAGCTCTCCCAGCTGTAGGTAAGATGAGGGCCTGAAACTAAGCCCATTTATCACAGGCCTGAGGCCCAGACAGGAAGACCTTGCTAATATAAAACAAAGAGAAGCTGTGAGAAAGAGGCAGGCCCTGCCAACAGAAGGTGGCAAGACCAGGGCTGATATCACAAAAACACTCCTACTAAGGGGTACTAAGCATAGACTGTGAGCACATTCCAGAGGGTTATAACAGAAACAAGGTGTTATAACAGAAACAAGAAACATATTGGTACCAACACACTCCCCACAGATAACAAGAACATACTGTCCCAAGTTCAGGACAAAGTCTAAACTGACAGCATGATAGCTAATGATTGAACTCTTTTGTACAAGGCAATGGGTTGTATGTAGGTATGTCAGAGGGTGGCAACTTGATAAGTCAGGAGTGATGTGTAACTTCTTTGTACCTGTATATAAAAATGTACCCCAAAGAGTTGTCTTTGTCCAACCAAAAGGGAGTGTTGAATTCCTGGAACTGACTGAGTTGGTTGCATATCAGTAGTGTTTTGGTAGAGTGTATTGACAATTATTATTGTACTTCATTTGACAATAAACTTGGACTGGTGCCTTCTATCTTTATCTGATTTTGTGGTCTTGTGGAGCTCTCTCAGAGTCTATTTTCATAAGCCAACATGAACACAGAGTGGTCAAACATGCAGCCAAATGGTTGTCATCATTGAATGAGCAGGGAACCTGTCAAGACACCCCACCAGTGATGCCTGACTACTACACAAACCTCTGCTGACCCTGCCCAGCACTGCTCTGTCTTAGGTGCTTTTCTATGAGCCAGTTTTTTTTCTTTTCCCCTCCAGGGGGAGACTGAGCTCCACCCTGCAGCCTTCTTATAGGGCCTGATTGGCTGCTTTCAAGCTTCCATTTGATTGGCTCTCAGTAAGACTTTCCAGGTAGGCTGGGTCTGTCCACAGCCTCTCTAGCCTGCTTTAACCCCTTTCATGGCTGAGTGAGGGTAGCTGTCCAACTACAGTGACCCAGTCACAGATGATGAGATAAGGAGAAGAATTGTTTTTGTGATTTGTAAGTAGCTTGGTGAAATTGAGCTCTTGCTACAATAGAATAATAATCCAGTTTGGTTTCACTTAACTGTCCAAAAAGGGCTCTTTATGCAAAAATTATCTCGGGCACTCATATTTCTACTGAGTAAAAGTCTTAGAGATGAGCAATATGAGAAGAGAAAGAGATTCAAACCTTCCTCTTTTCCATGTATGGGGTGTGTATTTGAGGTCATCCAAAGGTCTGAAGATAGGTGTGATGACTAATATAAAGTGCTTCACTTGAGCAAACTGAGAAAAATGGCACCACAGGAATAAATACATTTGCCTTATTTCCTGGTATTAGATAGACAAGGTGGGTTAGGTAATGTCTTTTATTGAATCAGCTTCTGTTGGTGAGAGAGACAAGCTGTTAAGCAACACAGATCTCTTCTTTAGGTCTGGGAAAGGTATTCCAAGTATTACAACTAAATGCAAGGTGGAAAAGATTATTTAGCATCAACTAGTTAGGGTTCACTAATGCAGCTGGAGTCATAGGACAAAAAAAGGGGAGCGGAGGAATTAGTGTTTTACAGATTGTTATAATAAGATGTATTCAGTGTCTCTATTCAGTCTATGATTTTTAGTGTCTAGCAGAATAATGAATTTAATCTCCCAAACTCATCTTTTGAAAGTTATGTGTACGTTTCCGTAAGGGTGAGAACTGACAGGTCAGAAATAAAGTGATCACTTTATGAAATGTGTTCACCCATAGATGTCGGGGAGTTTTTGTGTGTCTCATAATGTTTCTGCTATGCCATTACAATTGATTATCTTATTTATAAACAAAATGTATGAACTCTTCATTTTTCCAATAGCTCTAACCCATTTTTCAATAAACTGGCAAAACCAATGAATACCAGGTAAAAGAAAGAGCAGTGAAATCCAAAAAGTGATTCCCATAAACTAAATAATTTTTTTTCTTTTTTTTTCACCCAGATTTCTACTATACGAAGGAAAAGTACGGGCCAGCTTCAATTACCTCACCTTAGAGGATAAAAAGAGCGGAGACCTGGGATTACGAACAGCTGGGGTTTAGTGCAATTCAGGTTTTTTTTATTCCTTCCTCTCAACCACCTCACTTTTTAATCTAGTAAAAGATGCCAAGAGGGAATAAAAAGGATTAGAAATCACTGGGCTTACTTCCATTGTAAAGTAAGTAGTTATTCACTATCTCTATGTATACTCAGCAGTTTTATTTTGGAATAATTTCAGTTACAGGCAGTCCCCGGGTTACATGGATCCAACTTACATCAGATCCCTACTTACAAACGGGGTGAGGCAACCCCGCACTAGCTGCTTCCCCCCAGCAGACCAGGGAGACGCGAAGCTAGCGCCCCCCCTCCCCCAGCAGACCAGGGAGACACAGAGCGGCTTTTCTCAGCAGACACCTCAGCTTGAGAATAAAGGACTGAGGGAAGTGAGGTGTGGGAGAATAAAACTGAGCTCTGGAGAAATGTTTGGCTAGAGTTTCCCCTACAATATGTACCAGTTCCGACTTACATACAAATTCAACTTAAGAACCAACCTACAGTCCCTATCTTGTACGTAACCCGGGGACTGCCTGTATTCCAAAATAAGAAAGAGCACTGCAGGCTATTATTTTGAAATAATGGCGAGCTGGAGGACTTGTTACTCTGACTTCTGCAACCCTCATTTTATGGGGAGTAAGGGAAATCTGGGGTAGATTGTTCTTCCTTCGACTTCCTGCTGTGTAGACAGCGCCAAAAGACGAATTAAACTATTTCGATTTGAGCTACGTCAGTCGCGTAACTTAAGTTGCGTAGCTTAATTCAATTTTTGCCTTGCTGTGTAGCTGTGCCCCCAAGATTATTTTAAATCAGAAAAGAAATACAAATGTATTATCTGTAATTAAACTAAATGGCAAATATACTACAAACTGGTGAATACAGAGGGAATATACAGTAGGCAGGAAATTCATTTTTATTGAGCAGATGAAGCCCATTCAATAAATGATCATATCTCTCTACACACTGAAATTTACATTACAGTTTACCACAAAGACTTCTAGTTAAGGTTAGTCAGGTATCTTAGGACAGAGCGGAGTGTTGGTTGTAAACAGCTGAGGGACTTATTTGCAATTTGAAGTTGACTTGAATATTAGAGGAAGTAGCATCAGACAATTGCATTGATGATGATTCAGGGTTGCTACAATAACTAAGACCTTTTTTGGAGAACAACCTATATATGTTTCAAATGCTGACTCACCCTGGGTCTGGGTTCATGATTGCACTTTGACTTTTGACACAGCTCTGAAATATAGCTTAGAACCTCTTCTGCAAATGGGCTGGCCCAAGGAAGCAGGGAGCTAACTATACCTGGTTGAAAATTGTTGGGCAAGGAAGGAGAAAGAATTCACAAAAAAATTGTCAATATTATTCCTCCTTTTTAAACATAATCTAGAACTGATAAAATTCCCAAAACAAAAAACAAACAAAAAATAAAACCCTGCACAATTCAGAAAATGTCAAAGAGCTGTAGATAGAAATACAAAAGGCTGTGGAAAACATCCTTTGAAACTACAATAAACAACACTGGACTGACCAGAACAAGCAGGCTAGTGATTGACAAGCACATGGGATAGGTTTCAAAGGCCCCTAGTTCAATGAGACCCATGCCTGGAAGGCCCCAGAAAAATGGACACACCTGCACTCTAACCTGCACACCTGCTCAGTGTTCCTGCTGGGTAGTGGGGTTGGAGTACGCTGGTGGGCCTGACTCTCTGCCCACCAAGCGCTCCTGCCAGGGAATGGGAAAAGGTCCCTTACCCTGAACCTGGTCCCCAGCAGGAGTGCTGGGGGAGGGGGGAGGGGCTTGCTCTGGCCCAGAGCCCCACAAAACTATAATCCTTCTCTGACTACAACTTTATTAATTATATCTGGGGGAGAGGTATTGCATTTCCTGCCCCCAGCTTCCACGTATCATTCATTTAATTGGCTCTAGTGGTCACAGGACTTTTACTAAGAATAACATAATACTATAAGTAGAAGAAGACTCTCTGTGATCTATCCCATGGGCTCCGTCAGTTGAAACCTCTTTCCTTCATTCCTCCCACTGAGAGAATGTGGAGTAACTGAGGCTACAAATCTGGGTTTGGGAAAATTTCAGGCTACATCTCGATTACAGAGTTTTTCCGGGATACCTTTGGTATCCTGGAATAACTCTGCCACGTCCAGGGAACACATTTGGTTTTCTGACATTTTTCACTACAAATTTCAGAAAAGCCTCTTCCGAAAAAACAATCAGAAAAAGGTACGCAAAATGCAGAGTGCAATTTGCTTACCTTTTTCCAATAAAACTCCGTAGTCTAGACATAGCCTCAGCTTGCAAAGACAATAAGTCCTTCCCCTCATATAAGAACAAGGTTCAACTGTGCAATGTTGGGTCTCATTTACCTCTATGAGTCCCTTTTAACCATCATCTACACTAATAATGCTCACCTAAGTCTAGGTTGTCATGATTATGAGGGTTAGCCAGCAGCCTGGGGATTAAGGGGTTAACTACACCTAGCCAGGTGGAGAGACCAATAAGAATGTAGGTGGGACTTTTCAAACTGGGACAAAGGAATTTGGGTTTTTTTTCTTTTCTCCTTTTGTCTCTCAGTAAGTTCTCTGCAGCTACAGAGAGGGACAAGCATGTCTCTCTCTCTCTCCTAGACACCATTCTTCATTTTCTGTAAGTAGGGTAAAGTTTAGGCAGTTTCGTTAGGTTTTATTGTTTTAAGGATTGGGTATGGGATCTGAGATCTGGCACTGTTTAAAAGATGTTTTGGCTTTTCTTTGTAACTAAGTTCTAGGCCCATGGAGTTTCTCCATGAGTATATTTTATTACCTCCCTATCTAGTCATTATGTTTGCAACAGGAATATTGTTGTAATAATAAAAGTTCTTTCTTTTCTTTTTATTAACCTGGCAGTGGTTAATTGTGTGCCTTGATTTTTATTTTAGGGGTAAGATTTCCCAAATGATCTTTCCCCTGATTTCTTTATCAACATTTGGGTGGTGGCAGCGGAAGTTTTATTCCCAAGATCTAGGTTTTTAAGATCTTGGGGGGAAGTTTTATACCAAAGCCTGGTAGATAAGGCTTTGGGGTACACTTGCTGGCCCTCACTTCTGCATTTATCATGCCAGAGTGGGGAAGGAGCCATGACATAGGTTGTCACTTTTTATTGGAAAAAGGTATGCAAATTGCACTTTGCAATTTGTATACCTTTGTCTGTTTGTTTTTTCAGAAGAGGCTTTTCCTAAATTTGTCCCGTCTACACTGGGCCAAATTTCAGAAAACCCTCCACTTTAGGAGAGCTCTTCTTCATCATGGAAGGAGGAAGATAGGGCTTCTGAAAGAGCGTGTCTGCTCTTCCCCAAAAAATAAAAGTGGAGGAAACCTCCGTAGTCTAGACATAACCTTACCCACCATGTCTCGTCTAAGCCTGAATCTCACAGAGCCCAGTGTCAGCCCTTGCATCTGACAGATTAACTCCATTCCTCCTTAAAGAGCTCAGGGCATTGCATAGGACATCACTGTGTTTTATTACCCCCACCCCACTCCCAAATCTGAAAATATATGCTGGTCATTGCATGGTTTATGTTTTTCCTGCCCTGCCAATGCAGGCTTGGCTCAGTGTCCCCATGCCAAGCTTATTGCGTGAGCATATTGGACCAGAACGGAATGTGTAATCAACTTCACATCCCTCTGTATTTTAGTCCCTAACTGTAATCCCATACTGTCTCCATGGTATCTCAGATTATTTTACCAGGTGAATAATCAGGTTATTGTGGCTGCAGTTCAGCCTTCAATGAGTGGTGGGACTGTCTCATGCCCTGTTTGCCATATTATCAAAGGCTAATGGCTTCAGCCTTGAAGTTCAGTTCCATTCTACATGTTACCTGGCTGATGTCTGCCCACAACTGCACCAGCAACCAAACATCCCCAAGCAGTGGAAGCATCTCATGCCTTATTTGCCATACCAAGATCTGATCTCACAGCATGCCTCTCCTGTTGAACCTCTGCATGCATATAATATACATTTTGCAACTACCCCCCCTAGAAATAGCAGACAAGTGCACCAGTCCCAAATAATCCAGTGAATATAGCATATTGCACAGAAGGAGCAGAGCATAGGGAAAGTGCACATGGATTCAATAATATTGGCTATGTCCATGAGGTCTAAGGCAATGTGGTACTTAGATCAGCAATGAATGCACAGCACAAGAAACATCAGCTAAGGAAGATAAAGCCATACTGTCAATTCTATCATGCTGTGGTAGCATCAAGTACAATAAAATAAAATAAAAACACCATTCATTTGCACAAGAGTAACTCTACTGCCTTTGGTGGTTCCAGCTTCACACTTATATAGCTCAGATCAGAATTTTACCTGGTGGTTTTTGTAGTGTTTAACCTGCCCATTTACCTTTCAATACTATTATAGTGCTAACTGTGCTTCTATGCTCTTTCTTGTCTCTGTGAATACATTGCCCCAAAGGCATGCAGCTTCTTGCCCTTTCTTGTTTCAGTGTGGAGTTTTGTGATCGTACCAGTGTGTGGGTATGCTGTATTGTATATACCAACTGCTTACCACCCTGCAGTACAAGCTTGGATTTATGCACCTGCCCTTCCTTCCTTTGGGAACTTGTGACCAATAATATTGGCCAACAGCCCTCTTAAAGTATTTTTATTTTGCAATTGGAACAAAGTATCAGATATCTGCTCATCTTGTTTTAGTGAGGCCTTCTTCTGGCAAGACCTTCCTTTATGACTACACGCCTCTCTGGGTACATCTAGACTGCAAGCTTCTTTCAAAAGAAGCTCTTTTGAAAAAGCTTCCTTTGAAAGAGAGCATCCACACCTCAAAACCAGATTGAAAAAGAGATCTGCTTTTTTGAAAGAGAGCATTCAGACTGCATGGACACTCTCAAAAGAAAGCCCTGATTGCTATTCACAGAATGGCCACCAGGGCACCAGTGCTTTTTTCGATTGCCTCCTCTTTCAAAAAAATGTATCTCTTTCAAAAAAGACGTTCTTCTTCATAATTTGAAATGTACCAATGTCGGAAAAACGCCTGCATTCTTTTGATTTAATTTCAAAAGAACGTGATTTCAGTGTGGTGACGTTTTTTTAAAAAAAGGGCAGTTGTTTTTAAAAAAACAATGTAGCCTAGACCTACCCTCCATCTGGTTCTTTCCTTGCACCTGAAGGAGGGCAGTGTCCTTTAAACCTTGCAAGTGTTCTTTTTTTCCCATGCTACTTTAAGAGTTTACTCTTTGAGTTCACAGCCAAACAAGTTTATAGGCTCTCTAGGAGGTGACTGAAGGTTACTGGCAGTTGTGAACTAAAATTTCATAGCCCTTAGACTCAGAAATGGAAATTGTGTGCACATACTGAATGGCAGGAATCAAGCTTTGAGATTTTGTTTTGTTTGTTTAAGTACTCTATACATTTGCATTCTTAAAATATTTAAAATTGTAGAATGAAATCCTGTGCCTATCAAAGTCAGTGGAAGATTACCACTGAATTCTGAGAAGCTAGGATATTTGTATTGCAGATAATAATGTATCATTCTCCAGATATTAATATTCTATAAAAATCATATACTATTTGACTCAAAATATGCCTTTGTAATTTAACACTGTCATGATGTCAGATGAGCAATTATTGTAGTGAATTTCAAAATACTTTGCATGTACAATTGTTTGTAGTCTGATTCAGGGGCGGCAGGTTTGTATAATTTTTGGTGGTGCCTAGAATGGGTCTAGTCCCCGCCCCCCCGCCCCCATTCTATAAAAATCATATACTATTTGACTCAAAATATGCCTTTGTAATTTAACACTGTCATGATGTCAGATGAGCAATTATTGTAGTGAATTTCAAAATACTTTGCATGTACAATTGTTTGTAGTCTGATTCAGGGGCGGCAGGTTTGTATAATTTTTGGTGGTGCCTAGAATGGGTCTAGTCCCCGCCCCCCCGCCCCCACCCGCCCACCTTCCTCATGCCCACCCCTTCTTTCAAGCCTTCTCCAAGCACCTCCCCCTTCCCCTCTCCCCTCTAGTTCCCAATGCCCTCTCCTCTCCCAGCATCACCCTGTCTCCCCTCCCACTGACAAAACAATACCAGCGTCTACACTACCACGGAGTTCTGTCGACATAACGTGGACAGAACTCCGCGGTTTTGTCGCCGCTGGTATACCTCATTTTACGAGGCAAGACACCTTCTGCCGACAGAGTTCTGTCGACAGAAGGTGTTATTGCCTGTAACGTTGCGTCCAGACTATGGAGTTCTGTCGACAAAGCAAGCCGCTTTGTCGACAGAACTCCGTAGTCTGGACGCAGTGTTACAGGCAATAACACCTTCTGTCGACAGAGTTCTGTCGACAGAAAGTGTTATGCCTCGTAAAATGAGGTATACCAGCGTCGACAAAACCGCGGAGTTCTGTCGACGTTATGTCGACAGAACTCCGTGGTAGTGTAGACGCTGGTATTGTTTTGTCGACAAAAGTCCACTTTTGTTGACAAAACTAGGTAGTCTAGACACACCCATTGTCTCCACTTCACCCCACTTCACCCCCTGTCTCTCCTCCACCCTGTCCCTTGGTGCCTTCCCCTTTCTTTTCCTGACCTGCACCCCTCCCCTCACCAGAAGCCCCTTCCTCTCCTACCCTTCTCCCTATTTTTCCCCCTTCCCCTCTCCCACTTTCTGCCTTCCAGTTTTCGGGGCTGGAGTCTGTGGAGCCGCTCTGGCTGCTGGCCCAGGGCCAGGTGGAAGGTCTCCAAGAGACACATGAGACCATAGTCACCACAGAGCTCGAAGCCCCAACGCTCTGGGTGGGACCCACACATGGAGGCTCCGGAAGCCACATTTATCCTCTGGGCTCAACATCCCGCCTGGGAAATGTAGCTCCCCAGAGTCAGCCACGCAGGGATGAATTGGTGATTCCTGCGTGTCAGGGGTCATTGATCCCCAAGAAACACACAGATCTGGGCTGCCCTTAGGTGAAAAATTAGAGGAGAGAGAGAGAGACAGGGCAATAATATCCTTGAGATATTAAGCAAAAGGGATAGGGGCAGGGTTGGTTCCATAAAACACTAATTAGGCGGAGAGAGGCAGTGGATTCTGGTGAGGGTTCAGTATGCAAATTCTAATGATCATCGGGACCAGCACCCAACAGAGGACAGAGAGGAGATTGGGGGAGAGTTAGAAATGAAGGAAGCGTTTGGTTCCGGGCAGTGGAAGGGTCTGATGAAAAGTTAGAGGATGGCTTGGACAGCAGAGACGGAAAGATCCTTTATCTTGACAGGAAGAAAATTGAGGCCCTCAAAATAAAGTAAGTGGATCCGTGATGCCTTTAGGACAAGGGTGGGCAAATACTGGCCGGCGGGTCAGATCTGGTCCACCAGGGTTAGCCCTGGCAAGGCCCCCAGACCACCATATTTACTTGCACCTCTGCAGGTATGGTGGGGGGGGGGGATCCCCAGCCAATGGGAGCCACGGTCACTTGTACCTGCAGACTTTCAGCTGGTGTCTCGGGGTGGAGCCAGGGATCCAGCCCATAATATGGGGTGCTTCTCATCCCCGTTCGTCCGGGGCCCTGGCTCCCTCCGGCTCTCTGTGTCCTCTGCCGGCCTCATGGTGACGTGCTCCACCCCCTTTCTCAGCTGTGCAGCCCTGGCTTTTGAAGTGCCCGCTGCTGGAGCATGTGTAGCAGTCCCAAGGCACGCCGGGCAGTGCAGCTTCTGACGCCGCAGCTGCTGGGCTTGCCCAGTCACACCCCTCCTCCTCCTCCAGCAGCTGCCAGCCAGCCCTTCCTACGACGGCCCACCAGGAAATTCCTGGTATCCCGCTGGGCCAGTCCATCCCTGGCCGAGGCCCACTCCAGGTTGGGCTGGAGGAGAGACCCAGCTCCAAATATTGGAGGAGCAGGGCCCCCGGCTCTGAATATTCCTGGAGCATGGGCACCACGAGCCCATATAACTTGCCGCCTATGGTCTGATTTTCAGAGATTCTGAACACTTACAACTCCGAGGGTAGGCTAGCCTTTGCGTCAGCATGTACAATAAAAATCTAAACTGCAGTCGCAAAGTGGTGCTGAAACAGACTGAAAATGGAGGAGGGTAAATGGGACTGAACAAAGTAACTTAGTATTAAAATCTCCACTGTAAGATTTGCATGTCCCACAGAGAAACTCTTTCCAATGCATAGGGCAACAGCTCACTCTAATACAGTCCACTTAGTAATACACAAATTTAATGCTTGAAAAAAAGCAATGAAAGGTAAACTCAGCAGTTACCCTGATTCAAAGTAGTAGTAATTTTATTAAAATCATTGTGGAATACATTCGCTTGAATTATGAACATTGCATATGGACGTATTTTATATTAACCTGTTCATTTCTTGCCCAGCAGCACTGAAACTGTAATGGAACTGTCAGTTAATGTTCTATTATTACAAAAAATAAAGAATAGATAACAATAAAATTTAATCATCCTTTATATATCAAGAGTGGAATCCTCATTCTTACTGAAGTCAATGAGAGTTTTACCCCAGGATTTTACCCCCAAAATAAAAGCAAGGGGACTACTAATCATTAAATATGTGCTTATATACTTTGTTGTATCAAAGCCAGTTTGCTCAGCACCTTGTAGGATGGAGCTCTTAGTTAACAATAATGATATGTTGTTACAATATTCATAGATAGTAACATACAAGTATGGTACAGTAATTCCTCATTTAACATGTGCCCGCTTAACACGTTTTCACAATAGCACAATTTTTTTTTAGGGAACGTTTTTGGAATTATACAACCATCCCCAGAATAACACGATTTCCCCAGCCAGCCTGTTGCTGGCGACTGCGTGGGGCTTCCCCCACCTCCCTGCAAAGCCGTACTGTACCCCGCTGACTCCCCCTCACCAGACGCCCTACCCCTTCTCCTCTGCCCCCACTTGCAGGCCAGCGACTGGGTTCCCTGGTGGTTGCACAGGGCTTCCCCCGCCTCCCCACAAAGCAGCAGATGGTTTGCCGCTCACCGTGCCATTCCCTGGCGACCCCCCCCTCGCTGGACGCTTTGCGGGTCCTGGCAGAGGCATACTCACAGGGGCATACTCCCAAACCAATCCCCCTCGTCTCTCCTCCCCTTCCCTACCCTTCCCCACAGCCAAATACCTCCCCTCCCTGTTGTAACCCAGTCCCCTTTCTCCCCCAACCTTATGTCCCGGTCCCAACAGATACCACCACTTGAAATGCAACCCCCACCTTTTCCATTATTTTCAATGGGAATATTGACCCCACATAACATGTTTTCACTGAACACGATCATTTTCTGAAACATATCTATAGTGTTGAATGAGGAATTACTGTACAGGAAACTAAGCTCTCTGAAATTTGACTTATTTGAATAACTTCAGCTATAATCTACATTTTTCTTATCATTTTATGTATTTAATTGCCATAGTTATTCTGTTAGCATCAAACTTATTTTACCCACTGGAATATACATATATATTGAACCAGGTTATGAAAGTGCAATCACTATAAGAGAATGGCTGTACTGGTCTGGGGGAGGAGTGTACAAGGGGCTGCAGGGTCTGGGAGGGAGTTGTGACCTGGAGGAAGAGGAGACGGGGGTGCAGATGGTTTAGATGGTGACCAGAGGGAGACAGTTGGGAGGAGGAATGGGTTAGGGTGCCAGAGCCAGGCTGTGTTTATTATACTCATTTCTATTCCTTCACAGTATAATCAGGGAATCGAGTTGAAACATTTTTTCATTACTTGATTTTGAAATATTGAATGGTAAGTTTGGGGTTTTTTGCATTTCGGACTAAACTACTCACAAATGTGTAGATAATTACATTGCTTGATTTTGAAACAAAATACAGGACTATGTAGCACTTTAAAGACTAACAAGATGCTTTATTAGATGATGAGCTTTCGTGGGCCAGACCCACTTCCTCAGATCAAATAGTGGAAGAAAATAATCACAACCATATATACCAAAGGATACAATTAAAAGTGAATTTTTTAATTGTATCCTTTGGTATATATGGTTGTGATTATTTTCTTCCACTATTTGATCTGAGGAAGTGGGTCTGGCCCAGAAAACTCATCATCTAATAAAGCATCTTGTTAGTCTTTAAAGTGCTACATAGTCCTGTATTTTGTTTCAGCTACCCTAGACTAACACGGCTACATTTCTATCACTATTGCTTGATTTTGTGAGACATCCAATAACTCTTAATAACTAATAAAAGGATTATGACATCATGCAATGGAAGAGCTAATAGATTGTCCCTGCTTGTGGCTATTTTTAGTATATTTTTTACACATTTTTAGAATTAAAAGGTAGGGTAGTCTTGCTTTTTAAAAGTGACTTTTGGTTTTTGATGCCTAACCTTAGAGAAATTAAATGGGCCTCATTTTCACCTATTGAGTCAAGCCACTTTAGCTTAATGAGATGAAGGCTGGAGGAGACAAGACTGGGTGGGGGAACATAACAGTTTTTAAGTGCAGAAAAGGTTGTTACAAAGAGGAAGGCAAAAAATTCTGAGGGTAAGACAAGAAGCAATGAGCTTAAATTGCAGCAAGACTGGTTTAGGGTAGACATTAGGAAAAACTTTCTAAATATCAGGATAGTAAAGCAATGGAACAAATTGCCTAGGAAGGTTGTGAAATTTCTGTCACTAAAGATTTTTAAGAATACGTTTGACAAACACGTCAGGAATAGTGTGGTTATTACTTTCTCCTGACTTGAAGGTAGGGTTCTGCCCATGATGGTCTCTTGAAATTCCTTCCAATCCTACATTTGTGCAATTTGGTCCTTGTAGACACTTTTTTCCTCATGGCTAAGGAAGAAGTACTGAAATTCTATATTGAATGATGATTGTTGTAGTCTGTCTTATCTGGCATCTATCCATATGCTCAATAGAAGCATCAAACATATAACTAATCTTTCCCTGGCTTTGTCATCCCAAAGGACAGAACAATCAAGACTGCCTTTCACTGCATTGAGTTCCAGCACAGCACTTTCTAGCAGTTTGAAGACATAAGACATCCTACCCAGAAAAGTAAAGACTGTTTGGCATAAGAAAATTGCACCAGAATATTTTAAGGTGTGTTTTTAAACCAATACAGCTGAACTAGTGCAAAAGGCTGTGTGGATACTTATTTACATTTAAGAGTGTTTTATTTCAGTTTAGATTAAAATAATTATGAACAAGTTTAACAAAAAAAGAATAAGAAGTATTTCTACATAGCCTTTTACCTTGACCAAACAATATGTGATTTGAAAACTTGTCTCTCTCAACAACAGAAAAAACTTAAACAACAAATAGTCTAGTAACACCTTAAAGACTAAATAGCTATAAGAGGCTCATAAGAACCATTAGTTTTCACTTTGAAAGGAAGATGATCAACACCACATTCTACACAGACATTAAGAACCATTAGCATCTTCATTGTTTTGTTGAGTAATGGTATGATGTCTTGATATCTGTGTAGAACCTGGTGTTGGTCATCTTCCTTTCCAAGTACAAACTAATGGTGCTAATCAGTCTATTGTAACTATTTAGTCTTTAACATGCTACTAGACTATTTGTTGTTTTTTAAGTTTTTCCTGTTATAGACTAACTCGGCTACCCCTCTGAAGCATATTTACTCAATGTCTCTTTTTTCTTCCTCCCCTCTTTTTTTTCCTTCTCTCCAAGCCATGTAAATGAAACAATTGTTATTTGAAAAGTTGATAACATATGGGAAATGTTAAGTGGTAGCATAAGACCAAACATAATTAGCAAAAACAATTACAATAAGATAAAAGATTTTTCCATTAAATGAATACCTAAAATAAATGTGGAATGCTGGACTATGCAATAAGTGAATCTATATGAAAACTTAAAAAGCACATATGAAAATAAGGAAACGGAAGTGAATTAAACTAGACAAAATTAATCTCATTCTTCCAAAAGTAAAAGTCATAAAGTAAGGTAGAGCAGGCTTCACACAGAAAGAAAGAAAGAAAGAAAGAAAGAAAGAAAGAAAGAAAGAAAGAAAGAAAGAAAGAAAGAAAGAAAGAAAGAAAGAAAGAAAGAAAGAAAGAAAGAAAGAAAGAAAGAAAGAAAGAAAGAAAGAAAGAAAGAAAGAAAGAAAGAAAGAAAGAAAGAAAGAAAGAAAGAAAGAAAGAAAGAAAGAAAGAAAGAAAGAAAGAAAGAAAGAAAGAAAGAAAGAAAGAAAGAAAGAGAATTTTAACAGTTTGGCTTTTGATGGAAAAAAGATTAAAGTAATTGCTTTAATTTTCAAGGAGATGTAACAAAATGCTTGAATGATGATGATAATATAGGCTTAGAAAACAGATCTAGAGCTCGAGAATTAGATTTGGTTTTGAGAAATTTAATTATTACAAAGCAGTATGGAATACAGACAGAATGCTCAATGAATTCTGTGAAGAAATTAGCAGGACTCAAAACAAGGTGCTTTGGTTAAAAAATAATTTGAAAGCTACAACACAGAGCTATTATTCCACCATCTTTCTAAAGATGCTGAAGATCAGTCAGTTTAGTGAATGTAGACTTTAAAATGCCCAGGATTGCAAATGGAAATTTTGTGTTATATAGAGAGATCTGGTAATGGGATGTTCAGTAGTAAACTATGTGCATTGTAATTCAGAGAAACATGAAAAAAGTATATATTTAATATACATTATTGTATTCATATAAGTATGTTAACAGTTTGCAGATTGTACAGAAATTGCTGAATTACTATAACATAATAAGAATAATCTGACACAATGGTTTTCTGATGGAAAATACAGATTCTGCAAAAGTCTTTCATTTTACATTGAGAAAATCTAAAAAAAATATTTTGTTTCAGGTTGGTTCAACCCAAATTGGAATAAATCATAGAATCAGAATTATAGAACACTAGAACTGGGAGGGACCTTGAGAGGTCATCAGTTCCAGTCCCCTGCCCTCACAGCAGGACCCAGTACCGTCTAGACCATCCCTGATAGATGTCTATCTAACCTGCTCTTAGATATCTCCAGTGATGGAGAGTCCACAACCGTCCTAAGCAATTTATTCCAGTTTTTAACCACCCTGACAGTTAGGAAGTTTTTCCTAATGTCCAACCTAAATCTCCCTTGCTGCAGTTTAAGCCCAGTTTAAACAAATGTTGTTTTTAAACTTCAACAAAATCTTTCCTTTTGGATCAGTGGAACAAGACATTAATTGCATTTACTTATCATGGTGCACTGCCTTTTGGGAGTTGGATTTCTGGAACCCATTCCTTCTTAAGGCCAAGCTCCATGTCTAATAATGTAATATGGGGCACACATACCCCTTTGTTGAGATGTGCGGTACACTAGTGATCCTCAGTCAGGAGTTTTGGGCCCCATAGAGGACTATGAGCAGGTTTCAGGGGGTCTGCCATGCAGGGCCAGCATTAGATTTGCTGGAACCGAGGGCAGAAAGCTGAAGACCCACCACTTGAAGCTGAAGCCTAAGATCATGAGCTCTACCACCAGGGGCTGAAGCCAATGCCTGAGCAACATAGCTTTATCGGAGCCCCTGTGACATGTAGCCCCAAGTAATTGTCCCGCTTAAAACTCTATAATGCTGATCCTGGCAGAAAGCTAGTTATTGGGACCCAGGTGGGCCATGGAGTTTTAATAACATGTTGAGCAGGCCTTGGAAAGAAAAGGGTTGAAAACCCCTACAATACACAATGGGAGTCACATGACTCCCGTTATAGGAAATGTTGTCTGGATGGGAAAAGGAAGAATGGAAGCATAAGGCTTCTGAACACAACTCCTATGAGGGGAAGTGCCACAGAGAGAAAAATGCAGTTTAATGTTGAAATTTTGTAAAATGAATCACTTTTAAAATTTTAAAAAACTTCAGTTCAGTTGGGGAGGGCTGCCCAAATGTTTAGTTTTATAGAAAATATAGAGAGAAAACCCTGTGAATATCAGTTATTTTGAAATTCTTTTCAGTAGAGAATGCCAGTTCTTTGACCCAATATAGTGTGAAAACAAATGTTGAAATGTCAGTTTTGTTCCCTGTTGGATTTGCTTGTTGAGCAGGTGACACAATCATTCAATCTCTGGTAGAGGAGGACAGCTTTAAAGTCTACTCCAAGCTCTATCTACCTCCTTCACTTTATGAGCTGAATTGACAGGGTAGAACTGGGACTCTTATAGCAGCTGTTGTGTGATGCTTATGGAAGAAGCCAAATGCCAACAGGCAGCCTATATTCATCCAATCTCCTAAGAGAGTCATAAGATGCCATACTGACTTCCTCTTCTTCTGAAACATCCTTATTTTGTGGTAGGAGGCATTCGATGGTTAACATAGTGTTTTAAGTTCCATTAGTTGCATGCAAGCACTTTTCAGTATTTGAAGAAATGTTGCATTGCTATCAGTATTCTTTGGGGGAGCTCTTGAAAGCAGAAGGAGAATTTGTCTTTTCTTCAATCTCTTTAGTAAATCACATTTTGGAGAAAATTTCTTCTTCCCAAAGTACTACATACTAGTGTTCAGGAGGAGGTCCTGAGAGAAGAGATTGCCTAAATGCTCCTTGACCACTCCTGTTCAAAGCCTAGTGGACTTTCTCCTTCAGTGAGAAGCTGACCCACAGTGCCCCCGGTTTTGCTACTGTTATACGGAGAAGCGACATGTTTAAAGATGTATATTTAAAGGAAATAAATATAAATCCCATTCCAACTTCCCAAATAAACCCAGTGATTAAGAAAGCTGCTAAACATTGCCTGCTGCTGGATTACTCTAAAGTCCTGTGTGGATGAGGGGAAAATCTCTAAGCAAAGTATTATCACCACTTCTTTGATGTAAGCACATTGGGTGGTGATAATTATCTTACAAGAACTGTGGTCTGTCTTTGATGTCTGACTCAAAGATAAGGCCATTGTGGAGAAACTAAATGAAATCTTTGCTTCTTTCTTCATGGCTGAGGATATTGAGAGGATTCCCAAATCTGAACCATTCTTTTTAGGTGACAAATCTGAGGAATTACTCTAGACTGAGTTGTCATTAGAGGTGGTTTTGGAACAAATTGATAAACCGAATATAACAAGTCATGGGGATCAGATGGCATTCATCCAAGAGTCCTGAAGGAACTCAAATATGAAACTGTGAAACTATTAACTGTGGTTTGTAACCCATCCTTTAAATCACCTTCTACACCTAATGAATGGAAGATAGCTAATGTGATACCAATATTTAAAAAGGGCTTCTGAGGTGATCTTGGCAATTACAAACAAGTCTGACATCACTACCGTTAAAATTAGTTGAAACTATAGTTAAGAATAGAATTGTCAGACACATAGATGAATATAATCTGTTGGGGAAAAGTCAACATGATTTCTGAAAAGGGAAATCATGCCTTACCAGTCTACTACCAGGTAAGGGGGTCAACAAGCATGTGGACCAGGGGGATCCAGCAGATAATAGTGTACTTAGATTTCCAGAAAGCCTTTGACAAGGTCCCCCACTAAAGGCTCGTAAGTAAAGTAAGTTATCATGGGATAAGAGGGAAGCTCCTCTCATGGACTGATAACTGGTTAAAAGACAGGAAACAAATGATAGAAATAAATGGTTTTCATAATATAGAACAGTAACTAGTGGTATCTGTGAAGGGTCTGTGCTAGGACCAATTCCATTTAACTTATTTATAAATGAACTAGAGAAAGGGGTAAACCAGTTAGCTGGAAAAATCTGAAGATGATGATAAACTGCTCTAGATAGTTAAGACCAAAACAGACTGTGAAGAGCTTCAAAGGGATCTCAAAAAATAAGTAATTGGACAACACAATGGCAAATGAATTTTAATGTTGATAAATGCAAATTAATGCACCTTGGAAAAAATAATCCAATTATACACAGAAAATGTTGGGGACTAATTTAGTTATGACCACTCAAGAGAGAGATTTTGTGATCATTGTGGATAGTTCTCTGAAAACACCCACTCAATGTACAGCATCAGTCAAAAAAAGCAAACTGAATGTTAGGAATCATTCAAAAAAGTGATAGAGAATAAGAAAGAGAATATCTTATTTCCTCTATATAAATCCACAGCATGCCCATCTTGAATATTGCGTACAGAT